CTGCCTTCTTCCAGAATGTGACAAGCCGTGAGAGGAGCCTCCAGCACTTTCCTTGAGCGGCCAGGAGGCAGCTACCCTCCCTTCGGGGAGATTGCGGTCTGTCCCTGCACTACCCACCTGCCCCATGCCGGCTGATGCCTGCCCACCTGCCCTTCTCACTGGCTCCCCAAGCAAGACTGGAGCCTTGTTCTCCCAAGGGGCTCGTCCTGCCCTTGGCAGGCCATGGCTCCATTTCCCAGGCACCCAGTTTTTCTGGGTCATCTGCCCTAGTCAGGCCCCACCTGGAGCAGTCAGCTTAGCCCCAGATGGCCCATTTTAGGAATAGAAGGTGTCTAGAAGAGGCCAACCAGGCCATTTAGCGAGTCTGAAACTCAGGCCACACGCAGAATAAGCTAAAGGTAGGAAGGTGAAGATGGGGAGACCTGACAGCCAGCTGTGCCCAGGTAAGACTATGCGCTCAGCCCCAGGGGGTCTGCCTAACGCCCAGAGCTCCGCAGTGAGGGCACAGTCTGTGTCTCTCAACCAAATGCTACCTCGAGCACCCCACAAGGGGTTGGTGCCCTTTGCCATCAGAGGCCCTCTGTTCAATGCACACATCTGACAGTGATGTTCTGAGCAGGGTCCCTGGGCTTCTTCCCAAAGGACCCAGGACCCAAGCAAAGCCCATATGCCTGGCCTGGGGCCAGATGTAGCCCAGGGCAAAAGCCCCCGCCCTCCACACACCGTTCATGTTCCACGTGAAGGCATCTCTTAGTTTCTGCCCATCGATCTCCATGTCCAGCCTGATAGGAACCAGAACCTCGGGCTGGGAAGCATTTTCGTGAATCACCGCAGGGTCGTGGTCGTCAAAGCTGAAAAGAGAGAGTAAGGGGTTCAGCAGCACAGCCATCTAGCACCCCAAGGGCACCTGAAGAGACCTAGAAGTGTACACCAGGCAGATGCTGCCCCTGGCCAGAACATAGGGCTCCTAAGAGATCCCACATGCAGAGGATGCGGGGAAGGAAGCCCACACCGCCCATCACAGCCAGCAGAGACCGCCAGCTGACCACATGGATTCTCCAGGGCAGAAGTCTGGCCAGGTCCATCACATGCAGGCCCAAGCCTCAGTTTCCCCAGCTGGACATGGGGGATCGCAACATGGGCACTATCATACTCCTACTTCCTTAGCCGCAGTCCCCTCATCTGTACAGGGATAACAAGAGGTCCATGGTGAAGACCAAGTAAGATCATCTATCAAGAGCTTGAGGCGGCAGCTGGGGAATCAGGACGCCCCACATTCAGATCCAGCCTCAGACACTCACTAACAGTGTCGCCTGGACAATCGGCCTCAGTTTCCTCATCAATACGACGGGGATCATAACAGCAACCACCTCCTAGGACTGTCACGAGGACCACATGAGTGGATACAGCGCTTGGCACGCCTTCCGGTACCGGAAAAACCCAAGCCACCGTCATCCCCATCATCGCCGTCGCCACAAGCGCCAGCCGCCACTGCCGTGACCAAAGGCTCACCACAGGGGAAACGTCCTCTTCTTGTCTCTGCCCATGCGGTTCCTGTTGATGGTGGTGGAGCAGGGCACGGCGTCCAGATGGTGGGAGCTGTTCGGCAACGTCGGGACCCACTGGTTGTTCCTCTTGGCCTTCTGTTCCCTGGAGGAGGGGGGGAGAAGGCAAAGAGCAGTCAGTCAGGGGGCACTGGTGTCTCGGGGCACCCCCCCCAACTGCATCAACAGACATCCCCATGGCAGGACCTGTGCTAGAGCAGAAGTGGGAAGGGGGGAAACAGGAATGAGAACCTGGGGGCAGCTAGGCAGTGCAGGGATGGAGCACTGGCCCAGGATTCAGGGGGACCTGAGTTCAAATCCGGCCTCAGACACTAACACTTACTAGCTGTGTGACCCTGGGCAAGTCACTTAACCCCACTGCCTAGCCAAAAAAAAAATAAGTAGAGAAACGGAAGGACAGAGGGACCGGCCCGGCTTCATGCCCTGCGCTGCCTAGGATGCTGAGGGATGACGTGATGCCCCAGTCACACAGCTGGCCAGAGCCAAAGGCAGGATTGAGCCCAGAAGACCAGGTCGCCTGCCGCAGCACCCTCATCTGTCAGAGCGTGACCGTCTCAGCCCCTCCCTGCCCACAGAGGACGGGGCTCAAAGACCACAGCTGCTAGCATGGTGGCAGCTTCCAGCCCAAGTCTCTGACTCGGAGTAAAGATGGTAGGATTGAATTTGCCCTCTGGTCCTTGTGCTGCTCTTGGTCTTCGAGGCTGCACTGTGGGCACCAGGCACCCTCCTCCCTCAGAGGACAGTGGGCTGCCTTGCACATTCGGGGGGGTTTGGTGACCTGGCACTCACTTCCCATGCCAACTCCGTGCCAACCCTGACAGATGACCTGCTGCTGGCGTTGGGGCACCACCCGTGAGGCTCTGGGCAGCCCACCTCCCTTGCCTCCCTGTGGGTTGAGCCTGTTACCTGAGATAAGTGGGAGGTTCTGTGCTGATGGACACAGCCTTGTACTTCTCATCATTCCCATCGAGTATTTCCTCAACTTCCGAGGCTTTTAGCAGGGTTACGCTGGTGGCCAGGGTGGTATAGCCATGATCTAAACCCAAAAAGACGTGGCAGCCGTCACGCAGGACGCCACAGCTGGAGGGCCAAGAAGGCGCATCCAGGCGGGCATGCACCCTGGAGGCAGGACTGTGAGGCGTCAACCCTGGTCCAAAGGAACCTCCTGCCCACCCCACGGGCAGCCCCTGTGATCGGTGCCTCAACACTCAAAGGAGGCCAGGCGGGGTCTGGGGGAGAGCCTCCCCTGGATGGCAGGAGTGAGCTCACTGCAGTCAGAAGGGAACACAAAGTGGTGGCCAGGAAGCCAGGCTGACCGGCCGACCAGCGAGCCAAAGACTGGCTCCCGGGCACCCCCACCTGCCACCCCCATGGGACATCCCCAAGGCAGGCCCACAAAGCACCACAGACACAACCACAAACACAGACATGGTCTCCAGACAGACGGACAAGGCCACAAAACGACAAAGACACTCCCAAACCCCCTAAGCACAGGCATGCCATGCCACTGACATGCGTCTAAGCCCGGCGTGGTTGGCGACGCGAGCCTCCCCAAGCGCGCCGTGGGCTGTATCAGTCACCGGGTACGTCGACATGCCCACAGCCACACGGGAAAGCCTCTGAGCTCTCCTAAAACGCTTTAAGGACCAGGGCGTCTTCACAGCCCCAGCCCCTGGCCCACCCCTGGTCCCCCACCCATGGGCCTCCCCCCCTCCCCGTGAAGACACCCCGGGGCCCTAAAACGCTTTATCATCTCTCTCGAGGCAGTTTGGAAACAGGCTTACAAACCCTTGTGAAGACGCACCCTTAGCGCTAGGTTTGGATTTTTTACCATGTGATGACGCCACAATTTTCTTCCTCTCCTCCACGGTGGCGAGGCGCCTCCACAGGGAGGGGTACCTCTTGTACAGAGACCCCCGGAACATGCGTAAGTAGTTCCCCACCTGCCAAGAGGAGACAGCATCAGAGACGGAGGCAGAGAGGGAGACAGAGGGAGACAAAGAGAGATGGAGATAGAGAGAGAGACGGAGAGGGAGACAGAGATGGGGATAGAGACAGAGGGAGACAGAGAAAGATGGAGATAGTGACAGAGGGAGAGACAGGAGGGAGACAGAGACAGAGATGGAGGTGGAGAGAGAGACAGAGATGGAGATAGAGAGAGATGGAAAGGGAGACATAGATGTAGATAGAGACAGATGGAGACAGAGAAAGATGGAGATAGTGACAGAGAGAGACAAAGAGAGAGATGGAGATAGTGACAGAGAGACAGAGAGACAAGAGGGAGCCAGAGACAGAGATGGAGGCAGAGAGCCAGAGAGGCAGCCAGAGATGGAGATAGAGAGAGAGATGGAGAGGGAGCCAGAGACAGAGATAGAGAGAGCCAGAGATGGAGATAGAGAGAGATGGAGAGGGAGACAGAGATGTAGATAGAGACAGATGGAGACAGAGAAAGATGGAGATAGTGACAGAGGGAGAGACAGGAGGGAGACAGAGATGGAGATAGAGAGAGAGATGGAAAAGGAGACAGAGATGTAGATAGAGACAGAGACAGACAGAGAGAGATGGAGATAGTGACAGAGGGAGAGAGAGACAGGAGGGAGACAGAGACGGAGAGGGGGAAACAGAGGAAGACAAAGAGAGTGACAGTGAAGGGGAAAAAAATGGAGCCAGGAAGGGAGGGCTGGGGGAGGGGAGGCCCCATGGGGGGCGGGGCTCGGAGTCCCCACTGTGTGCCGGGCGCAGGGGGGGCTTCCCTGCCCCCACTCTCCCCACACCCCCCCCGTCCCCTCGTCCCCAGCGTCCCCCCAGATGGTCGGGCTCCTCTCCTCCACCACCTCCGCCTCGGAGTCCACCATGCGGACCTCGCCACCTCCTCCCCCCTCCCCCCGCCGCGGACCCCTGGGACCCTGGGGCTCCTCCTTACCTCGGACCCGATCATGTAGAACTCGCCGTCCTCCTCCAGCTGGAACTTCACCGGCTTCTGCCCGAACGTCTTGCTCAGAGCCATCATCATCATTGCGCCGAGGCCCGGTCCCCACGGACCCAGGCCGCCCAGCTGCCCTGCCGCCCACAGCCTTCTGCTCCAACCCTCGCCCGCCTCAGCCGCCGCCCACACCCGCCAGGCCGCACCACTCACTGCTCAGGCGCGCGCGGAGACGACGGCGGCAGCGGCAGGGAAGCGTGCGCGTGCGCACCTCTCCGCGGGCCGTCTGCGCCTGCGCGCTGCCTCCGTGCGTGTCTCGTCAGTGCGTGCCGACGTCTATGTGCCTCATTCGTGAGCGCGCTGGGGCGGGCGTCCGCGCAGACAAAGAGCCGGCCCCGCCCCGCCCCCAGCCTCCCCGCGGGACTCGTACAAAAGAACCGGGCGAGGCCCCCCCTCGTCCCGCCCCTGGATCCGCCCCCGCCAAGCTTGGACCAGACTCAGGCCCCGCCCCTTATATCCCCGCCTCCAGCCTCCCGCCTGCCCAGGGCAAGTACAAAACAATTGGGCGTGGCCCCGCCTCTACACCCACGTGGGGGCTTTTAGGGGCTTGAGGGTGCTAGGCTCTGACTGGGTACAGACTCCTTCCTTCCCTGCATCCCTCTTTCCCGACGCCTGTCTAAGCACCAACAGTGATGTCTGGGTCTCCTTGGGCTAAATACCCCTTCCCAGGCATCTGTGGGGAGGTGGGCCCTGGCGCCCCCCAAAACTCACAGCCCCCACCTGCTCTTGTTCCCGCCTTGACCCCTACCCTAGCCTTCCCCTGCCGAGACACCTGCACTGACCTGGACACTTCACCCCTGGGTTCTGGGGGCCCCCCAAGGCCAGCTAGTCCAGTGAGCCGACCCAGAGGCTGAGAGCCCCCACCTAGGCAGAGCGCCACCGCCCCAACTCTCCCCCTGCCCAAGCTGCTCGGCCCACAGCTCCCAGCATGCTCTCCCCTGGCCTGTTCTCAGGGTGGCCCTGCTCCCCTTGCCCCCTCCCTAAACTCTCAGAAGCCTTAGTTTGTAGATGCCGGATAGGATACAACCTCACTGGGCCCTCACTACTGCTCAGCAATCCTGCTACACCTGCTTTATCGATCCCCTCTCCCCAGAAGGTCTCCCACACTTTTTCATCCCTCCTGTGACCTCCCATGGCTCCCCCTCCCCTGCCATGCTGGCTCGGACCCCTGCCTCATCTTTTCAGAACAAATGGAGGTCATTCACACAGAGATCCCTCTTCTCTTTTCCCCCCTGTCCCTTCACTCAGGTCCTTCTGCCCCCTGTCCTCCTTCACCTTGTCTCCCAAGTCAAGGCAGCCTCAGTCCTGTGCCTCCTCAGGTCATCCCCCTGAACACCCCGCCTTCCCCCACACCCTCTACGTACCACATCTGCCCAGGAATTTGGAAGGAGGGTTCTAGGCTACTCACTGCTTGCCACTAAAACACTGAAACATAGCAGGACTGTTGGACAGTCAGTCCAATGTTCCATCCTTGGAGAGAAGCTCTGGAGCTCCCAAGGCTGTTTCCAAGTTGGAAAGGACACCCATGAGCCAGCAAACAGGGGGCCTGCAGAGCCTGACTCAGGCTTATCTGAAGGAGCCCCTGTGTCATCAGCCACATGTGGAAGGGAGAAAGGGGTGAGGAGAGAGAAAGAGACAAGAGGGAGAGGGAGAGGGGAAGGGGAGGGGGAAGAGGAAGAGGATGAGGAAGAACAGGAGGAGGAGGGAGAAAGGAAGGGAAGGAGGAGGAAGAGGAAGAGGAGAGCAGAGAAAAGAAAGGGAGAGGGAGGGGGAAGAGGAGGAGGGAGAGGGGAAGGGGAGGAAGAAGAGGAAGAGGATGAGGAAGAAGAAGATGAGGGAGAAAGGAAGGGGAGGGGAGGGGGAAGAGGAGGAGAAAGAGGGGGAGGGGAGGAGGAGAAAGGAGAAGGGGAGGGAAGAAAGACAGAGAAAGACAGGGGTGGGAGGGGAGAGATCCAAGCTAAGTTCAAGAGGAAGATGAAAGGGAGAGAATGGAAACTGGCTGCCACAAGAAAGCCCCAGGATAACCAGAAGCCTCCAGTGTGGACCCTGGATTTCACTTGCAGCCCCAGAAAGCAGTGCAGGCCTGAGACCAGGCCACCTAGACCCAGGACCTCTGAGGTCCCCAGTCATCTGTCCTGAGGAGCCATGCAGTGGGGATCAACCCTGGGAGATGGAGGTCAGCACAGGAGCCAAGGTGACCCAGGGTAAGTCCAAGGAGGGTCAGCTCCTCCACCCAAAAGCACAGCAGGGTGCAAAGCCTGGCCTTCACCCAAAGCCCCAATTTAAGAACTAAGGCTAGAGAGAGGAGCAGACAGAGGAAGCCAACAACTGCCCCAAAGAATTAGAGTAGACCCAGAGATAGGAGCAGCCCATAACCCCTGCAAGCAGACACCGAGAGGAGAATATACAAAAGAGAAAGTGGCACCCTGACCCAGGAAATGGACTCCTTGGAAAGGCACCATGAGAAAGTAAGAAGGATTAGAACAATATCAAAAGATTGAAACAATTGAAGAAAATGTGAGGTATCTGCTAGCAGAAAACAGGTCATGGGAGGCAGGAAAGAAGCATTTGGAAAGTGCCCATTCTGTGCCAGGCACAGAGCAAGACACTTTTTTACAATAATCTTTTCTTCCTCACAACAGCCCTGGGAGGTAGGTGCCATTATTACCCCCATTTGATAGCTGAAGAAACTGAGGCAAACAGAAGTGAAGGGACTTGCCCAGGGTCATACAGCTAGGAAGTGTCTGAGGCTGGATTGGAACGCAAGTCTCCCTGATTCCAGGTCCAGCACTCTATCTACTGTACCACCAGCTGCTTCAATCATATATCTTTATTTTCCCATCTTTGTTCTCTGTGAGGTCATTTCTCTTATCTCTGTAACTTTATCCAGAACTGTGAGGGCAGTGCCACTGTCCTTGGTGGAGAAGACAGTTTGCAATGGTGATTTTTGCAGATCTTTTCCATTTTTCTTCTGCTTCTCATCCTCCTCCTACATTCTTCCTTGAGTATTGGGGCTTAGTCAATCTCTGTCGCTTTGTTTCACCTGGCTTTAACTTCCGGGCTTCTTCTTTATGAGACATCATTCTCCTAATTGCCCATTATCCCTTCTAAGACGAATTTTCTCCTAAGGCCGTTGTCTGTTCTAGGCAGCTAGGTGGCTTCACAGATATTATACTTGGTGTGGAGAAGACCCAAGTTCATATCCAGCCTCAGACCTCTCTCTCTCTGTCTCTCTGTCTCTGTTTCTCTCTGTCTCTCTCTCTCCTTCCCTCCCTCCCTCCCTCTTTCTTTCTCTAGGTCCACATAGAGTGTCACACCCTTACCTGTGGGTGCTCTGCCCGAAGGGAATGTAAATGTGTTTAATCTCTGAAACTTTTTTTGTTTTGTTCTTTTATAGACCAGCCTTAACCCCAAATCACTGGGCTCTATCTATCACTCAGGTAGGTTCCAGGCCAATCCCTACTTGGTCATTGATTTGGTCCCCAGTTGGCTTAGAATGAATGTAAATAGCAATTGTTTCTGTTTCCCCCTCCCCTCCCAGATCTTTTTTTTTCTTTTCTTTTTTTAAGAGGCCATTCTCTACCTCATTTCTTACCTAGCCTTCATCACTGAATGGGCTTTGCCTCAGTCAAACTGAGACCTGTTAAAGACCTTAGCTTAAAAAGCCCAAGGTCTCCCACTACATTCTGGGCCATCTCCAGTTGCCCAAAGTGACATCTGGCCACTGGACCCAGATGGCTCCGGAGGAGAAAGTGAAGCTGGTGACTTTGCACAGCCCTCCTTCACTTAAATCCAATTGACTTGTACGTGCTGGCATCACCTCTCTGATGTCACGGTCCTCTTCCAGAGAGGACAGACAGCAAAATCACCTTTAAAACAAGTGTTGTTGAGAGGATCAGATGAGATCATATTTGTAAAGTGCTTTGTTAACCTTCAGGCACTCTCAAAATTATTAGAAATCTATTCTTGCTTAGATTTCTGGATAAAATTATCATCAATGTCGATGGCCTTCCCAGTGTCCACCTTTCATTTCCAATCACTTGTTCAGTGGTTCTGGGGGAGACATTTCAGTAGCCTACCAGATTTCCTTTTTCTAGAGTTTTTTACTCTTTCTCTGCTGAGACTCTGATAAGCTGACTGCACAGACAGCAGCTGCCTCCGGAAAACTCCCATGGCAGGGACCTGCTTTCCTTGTCCATTCAAATAGGACCTCTTTTCACATCTTACCATGAGAGCAGCAATGGATGGGGAGGTGCCTGCTGGGCATGAGCCAGTGAGGAGCGCCAAGGAAGGACAATGGGAATTAAAAGCAATGGATGCAGGAGGAGGAGCCTGGCTGCTTCCACAAGGGCAGGAGCAAGGGAGGACATCTGGATGCCACACAGCTCCCCTGGTTGCTCCCAAGGTCAGGAGTGGGTGGAGAAGGCAGCCAGCCCATCGGGTGACACCTTGCCTTTAGCCCATCTCATTGGAGGGAGTCTTCACATTAAGGACATCTCTGCTTGTCTCCACTTACTGGTGCACGTCATCTTTCCAGACAGAACATAAGCCCATGACCCTGCTGCCTGTGCAATCTCAGTGCCCAGCAAGACACGTGACACAGTCATAGCAGACACAGGGTCTCTTCGTTGGCTGCATGACTTGTATGCTACTCTCCCTGTGCCAATGCCTTATCCTTTGTCCTCTCACCAAGCCCACCTGGCGAGTCCCCAACCCTGCCCAACCTGGGCTTCCTCTGCTCTGACACTCGTGTTGCTGAAGGCGGGCCGGGGGGTTGTTATCTCATGTGTTTGGGGCCTTCAGAATGGAATAGACTCCCGCCTGTGCCAGCAAGTTCCTTCCCTTCCAGCTGGGGACCTCCCCTTCTACTTTAGGGAGATGCCATGTGGCAAGAGGTGCTTGTTCCAGGCTCCAAAGCTCCTCACCCATGCCATCCATTTGCATCCCCTCCTCACAGCTCCAGCCTCCATGACAGCCCCACTGCTGCCTCCTCAAGGCCGTGCCTTCTCTTTCTTCCTCATCTCCCACCTCTCTCTATCCACTGGTTCTTTCCCTGCTGCCTCCAAAGAGGCCCAGGTCTCCAGACTTAAAGTGTCCTCATTGAACCACCACTCCCATCCTTAGTTCTCTTCCCTGTCACTGTCAACTCCCAGAGGATGGCTGCCTTCATCTCTTCTCTCACCACCTCAGTTCCCCACACTCACCTCCAAGGTTACTAAAGGTCTCCCCAATGGCTAAGCCCAAAGACCTCTTGCCAGCCCTCCCCCTCAGTCTCCCTGCAGTCACTAATGTGGCCACTCCTGCCCTTGTCAGGGACACCACTCCTCATTGGCTTCCATGGGCCTGTCTTCCTACTCCTGTCTGATGGATCCATTAATGGGTTGGACCAGGCTCAGGGTGGGAACAACCCACTTCCTTCTCACTGCCTGTCCATAGACCCCAGGCGGCTCGTGGGAGCCAGGAAAATCTGTGGACAGTTGGCTCTTTGGTCAGGCCTTGCCAACCTGTTCTGGGGATATTGGTTTCTTGGACCCAAGTGAAGGATTTTACATTTGTTTCTCACTCACCTAAGTTGGGTCCAAGCCTTCTAGCATGTCAAGGCTGTTTGGATCCAGACTGTCATCTAGGGTATTCAGACCCTGACTCTTACACTTGAGTCTTCACTGCCCCACATCCCTGAGCAAGGCCTTCTCCACCCCCACCAAGCTTTGTTTGCTCCTGGTGAGATGGGGCTAACCCCACAACCACAGAGCTTGCTGGACTGTCATGACAAAAGCTGCTTGCTAGCCCTAATACTATGTTTAGGGCCAAACCAACTAACTTGCTGTGTGCCTGTGGACAAGTCCTCTGCCCTGCTCTGGGGGCTGGACTAAATGACTTCAAAATTCTCAGTCTCGTGCTCTTTGTCCAAAAGGGAATCCAGGGCCCCAACCTTTGGAGGCTGTGCACGCTGGAGTTTGGGCCAATGGTGGCATTCCTGAGATGGCCAATGGACAGAATAATAAGAAAAACTGACATTTCTACCAAAGGTACATTTCAGTCATTATCTCACAAAGACCCTGTGAGGTAGGAATGCCAACTACATTTTACAGATGAGGGTGAGCCCTGAAGCTCAGAGAGGTTTTGCTCAGGGATTTGCCTGAGGCCACACAGCTAAGTAAAGGTCTAAGACATCATTTGAACTCAAGACTCCAAGACCCCTCCTCCATCCAATGTTCCCCTGCCTTTCCTAACATCAGCAGGGAGCTGAGTTCAAATCCCACCCTTTCAAACCTGGCACTGATTGTGTGGCTGCAGGCAATCCATTGTGTTCTGGCTCTGGGTCATCAGTGAGAAAGGCAGCAGAGACCCACCCAGAAAGGAAGCTCAGGTAATTTCCAAGGAGGAGGCCAGACAGGTCCAGTAGAAAACAGGCCGTGTTTAATCATCAAATGGACGGCCCACTGATACAAAAGACACTTTTCATACTGTACACAGTTAGCACTTCTTTGGCAGAGAGGGCAGAGGAAAGGCCCCCGAGGCCTACCCCATCATAGTGGAAGGGTACCCAGCCAGGGCACTCTACAGCTGGCTCCATCTGCCCTGGGGCCCAAGCTCTGAGCCGGACACACTTCCTTCTCAGACTCCCAGCTGCCTGTTTCCAGGCCCTGAGGGCCTAATGGAGGGAGAGCAGAGTCAGGTTTCCCTTAAAGGCAGCCCTGTTGGGCCTGGCCCTCTTAAGCATCAGGCCCAGGCCTTGTGAGCATGTCAAGACTTAAGGGAACTTTTATGAGTCTAGGGGCTGGCTGTCCCAGACTGGCCGGGTAAGCCTACAAGGACCAGACTTGGCATGAGGAGGAGGCTTGCCTTGAGCTCTGCCTCTGGGGACTGTTGTCCCTTGGAGCCCATACCTCAAGCAGGCCTGTGGACACTAGGTTGAGGTTAGGGAAGGAAGACACCCTTGTACCTCAGGATAGAAGGCAGTATTTGCATGCAAGAGATTGCTTTCTCCAGACTGGATACAAGGGCCACCCTTTCTGCCCACCACCCCTCCCTCTCTTCTGTGGATGGGGACTCTGAGGGGGAGCCAGACTAGAGGGGAAACACAGGGGAGGCATTCCTGGGCTGGGGGACTGGCCAGGCATCTCTCCTACCATGAAAAGGGTGAGCCAACATCCCCGCGAAGGGCCAGCCCAGCATCCTGGGAAGTAGGACAGGTCAGTGGGACTTGGGGTTGCCAGGAAGGCTGGGACAAGGAGCAGGAAGAAAGGAGGAAAAGGAGGAATTGGGAAGGCCAGGTGTTGGTAGCAACTCCCTGCTAAAGGGGCCTGACTGAGAGCGGAATGCCAAAAGGCCCACTGTCTGCCTGGATGTGTCTTCAGGATTTGACCAGGAATGTCCCGAGATGCCTGGGGTGCCAGGAGGGGCTAGAAAGTACAGCCAGCTGTAAAGCACACTGGTGGGCAGGAGGTCGAATAAAACCCAGGCCTACAGTAAGGCCCGAAGGTGGATAGCATGCAAGAGCAAGGGGACATCCCAATAGGTGAGGGGCCACGTCCTGCCTCCTGAGATCACTGAGAGTGGATGGGATGAGCCTGCCCACCTCAACTGGGATCCATGGCTTGGGACGGACATGCCCCATTCAGAAGAAACAGCTTAGGGAGAAAGGAGAGGCTTCCGAGTGGGAAGGTGTGGATAGAGGGTAGAAAGAAATTATGTATTCAACGCTCCCCGGGAGAGTGGGTGGCAAAGGACTCTGGGGGAAGGGTAAGCCACCTCCATGGCCTTCCATGATGTCCCCCTGGGAACAGCAGTCAGTCCAGGGGGAGAGGCAGTTCTTCAGTGTGGAGCAGGTTCTGAGAATCCAAAGAGAACTGACACCTAGGAGGAGTCCCCAGGGGGCAGGGTATCCCAGCTGAGATTCTGAAAGGATGTATCTGGACAATGACAGAGAAGGCAGGGTTCAGAACTGACAGTGTAGGCCACAACCAGAATAGCCTGGAGTCTCTCTGCCTCCAAACACATGGACTCTCAGGCTACGAGACTCCCTAGGCCTGCATGAAAGCCCAGCTGGCAGCCAGCTGCCTCCAGCTGAGGGCATGGGGGAGCCTGAGCCCAGCTAGTTCATCCCAGAGCCTTCATTTCCATCCCTGAATAAATAGTGCTGCCTGGTTCAGGGTCATCCCCATGGGAGGCCGGCTCCCAAAGAAGGTTTGGGGGAATGCAAGGCCTCCAAGGCCAGTGCTTAGAGGAAGGCATTGGAGGGAAGGGTGACAGGTGCAGCACAGCTGAAGAAGTCCTGGCCAATGAGGCGCGGGAAGCCCTCCAAGACTCTCACTTTTACTGGGTCAAACTTCCAGTATTGGCGACCATGGAGGAAGTAGGCATAACCTAGAAGGAAAGGTGGGGGAGGGGTCAGTGAGAGGGATGGGCCCCGGCACCCCAAGGGGCATTTAGCTTGCTCCTCCCAGGCCTGCATCTGGCACAGTGTAGCCTCCTTGAAGGCTCAAAGGGGACATGAGAGCTGTTTCCACATGTATGAATCAAGGGCTGCCATGTCTAGGAGGGCTTAATCTTATTCTGTTGTTTTGTTTTGTTTTGCAAGGCAATTGCGGTTAAGTGACTTGCCCAGGGTCACACAGCTAATAAGTGTCAAGTATCTGGTCTGAGACTAGATTTGAACTCGGGTCCTCCTGACTCCAGGGCCAGTGCTGTATCCACAGGCTTAATCTTATTCTGCCTGGCCCAAGGGGAAGAAGGAGCAATGAGTTTGAAGGATCCTCCCCAGCCCAATGGGCACTTCTCTTCCCGTAGCCCAAACCCACCATGGCTGTCTTGGAAGGCAGCACTGATCTCAGAGGGTACTCCCCGCCAGTCAGTGGTCCTTCTCGGGGAAAGGCCATCAACACGCCGTGTGCTGGCATGGAAACGCCAATAACTGCCCCCATGGAAGAAGTAGATTTTGTTCTTCCCTGTCCCCCACACCAGTGCTGCATGGATGGCTGAGGTTGTTAGACCAAGGTCAGAGAGTGGCGCTTGGGCCCAGGACACGCTGCTCTCCAGCATACACCCAATATTGAGGGCCTGGGCAAAAGACCAGAGGGGAAATGTTCAGGGCAGGGGGCACTGGGAGCTCCTCCCTTCAGAGAGGCTGTGGGCACCATCCTGAGGCAGGGCAGGCCCCCAAACAATCCCTCTGTGGGAAAGCACAGAGGGAGATGAGCCTGGGAAGTGAGAAGCTTGAGGTACCGAAGCAGATGGAGACAGGGAGAGGCATGCTGAGAGCAGGGGCTGGGCATCTCCCTGCCAGAGTAGGGAGGAGGAGGTCCCTTCCATTGCCCTGTCATGAACAAGAGGAGGAGCCTCTACTCTCCAGGCACTTCAGCTGGAGGTATGTGGGCCCATCCCAAGGGGATAAGGTGAGCATGGGCCCAGGAGTGGAAGGAAGGAGGGAGGGAGGGAGAGGGGAGGAAGGGAGGAGGAGGGAGGGAGAAAAGGAAGGAAGGAGGGAGAAAGGAAAGAAGGAGGGAGGGAGGAAATGAGGGAGAAGGGAGGGAGGGAGAAAGGAAAAAAGGAGGGAGGGATGGGGGTGGAAGGGAAGGAGGGAGGAGGGAGGGAGAAAAAGGAGGAGGGAAGGAGGGAGAAAGGAAAGAGGGAGTAAGGGAGGAGGGAGGGAGGGAGAGAGGAAGGAAACAAGCCCTTGTTAGGTACTTACTGGGGCCCTGTGGCTAAGTACTCTTTACAATTATGATCTCAGTGGATCCTCACAGCAGTCCTAGGAGGGACGGATGGTTATTTTCCCCATTTTACAGCTGAAGACACTGAGGCACAGAGCTGAAGTGGGCAGGGGCCCAGGCTCCCACAATAAACTTGACCTCAGGTCCTGATGACTCCAGGCTAAGGACTGTTAGGCTCCATGGTCCACAGTGGCCCTGGCTGCCTCCTTTTCTGGCAGCTTACAACCTGTGGCCATTCTCTCTTCTCTAAGTCTCTTATCTCCTTGAATCTTCCCCACTGTCCCTCTCACCCACTCCCATCACCTCTGCCCCCAGCCCCTGCTCTCCCATAGCTCAGTCAGCCTGGGAACTTGCATGGGCAGCTGCCTGCCCGTGGAACACACCATCAGGCCCTGGCCCCATCCTCAGCCCCTTCCTGACCACCCTACTGAGCCTCACCCTGGAAAAACCAGATGTTGCCCTGTGGATCCTCAAAGGCCGCATCAAGGCTGGTGGGCAGGCCGTGCCAGTGGCGAGAAGCCAGGGCTGGGTAGCCGGGCTGCAGCTGCCCGGCCCTCAGCCTCCAGACAAAGCCCGACTTGAAAAAGAACAGTTCTCCTCGGATGGTGGCTGCAGCATCAAAGTCTGTGTCGCAGGCATCTGGCTGCAAGGGGGACATTGAGGCAGGATTGCGGGGGAGGCATTCGCACTGGCGAGCAGTGGCATTGGGGCTGGGTAGGCAGCCAGGGCCTCACCTCCAAGGAGATCTCGTTGGTGTCTATGTCACCTGGCTGGGGAGGGGGAGGCACTTTGGGGTGGGGCCTGGTGGGGCCTGGAGCTGGAGGGGCCAGGCCCGGGTGGGGCTCTGGGCTGGGCACAAGCCGCCGTCCATAGAGGTGCTGGATCCCCTGCTGGTCATCTGGGCTCAGGCTCAGAGGGTAGCGGAAGGTATAGAAAGGGGACATCAAAGCCTTGGCTTCGTTTGAGTGCTGGAGGCCCAGCACGTGGCCAAACTCATGGGCAGCCACCTGGAGCAAGTCTGTGCCTGGCAGGGATGGACAGAAGCAGGCACAGGAGCTTGCAATCTTGGGGCCTTGATACCCTAGCACCCAGCCTGGAGGCAGGGATCCCCATCCAGGGGACAGCCAGTCATCTGCCCCATCTCAGTTCCCCCAGGCCTAGCCCCCACCCATCCTGCCTTATTTTCCCCCAGCCTCACCATGCATCTTGCCTCTGATTCTCCCAGCCTCACCATCTTGCCCTGCTTCCATTTCCCCCTGCCCAAGGCTCTCATACCCAGGTTATTCCCAATGGTCCAGGTCTCATCGTAGTCAAAGTGCACATCCCCCTCCCGGTGGGTCTTGGGGAAGAAGGCATGAGCCAAAATGCCTCCAGGTCCATCAAAAGGCAGATTGTCTCCATGCCAGTACCTGAGGAGAAGCTGAGGTCAGGAGGCTCTGCTCAGCTACCTCTGGCCTGGGACATTGACAGGTGATTCATTTCTGTAGCCTAATCAGGAACCAGGGGCCCCGGAGTGGTTCCCCCACCCCCACCACTGGGGTCAGGAAGAAGGGTGACCTCTGGCCTCCAAGTGCAGTTCTTGGGTTCTAGTCTCTCTGGGTATGTGACCTTAGACAGGTCTCTAGTCCTGTGAAAGTGGGATTCTCCCCCTGCCTCCACCTCCTTAGAGCTGTCACTGTGACCAGCTCAGTGACTTAGACTTGCCTCCCTGTTCAGTGCCAGGGCCACCCCACAGAGCCCTAGGGAGCTTCAGTGACTCACCCAAGGTTCTCCTGGGCACATTCAAGACCTGGCAGCCACTGGAAGCCAGGTGTCCTGGTCCTCATTTCCAGGACAGGTTTTCGGGATCCTCAGCACACATGACATAGAGCCAACCTAAGGCTAGGGGTGGCACCAGGGCCCCTGCCCCTACACTGGGCGCTTACCTGGTGAAGTCAATCATGATATCTGCCCTGCCTTCTTGCACCTCCGTGAAGGTAAGTGGGGTCACATTGCTCCATACCCGTAAGGCCTCGGCCATCATCTGCTGTACTTGCTCCTTGACCAGCTGCCAGGGGAACCGCATGATTCTGGACAACATTGGAAGACATATTGGGGCTGGACCACGAGTCAGAACCCCCCAACTCCAATCATGTCCAGGAAGGAAGGAGGGAGGGAGGAGGGAAGGGAGGGAAAAGGAAGGAAGGAGGGAGGGAGGGAGGGATGGGGGAGGAAGGGAAGGAGGGAGGAGGGAAGGAAAGAAATGAGCATTCATTAAGTGCCAACTGTGTGCCAGCCTCTATGCTAAGAGCTTTTACAAATGTCTCATCTGAACATCACAACAACCCTTTGAGGCCGAGGCTATTATGAGTCCCATTTCACAGTTAAGGAAACTGATGCAAATGGAGGTTAAATGACTTGCCCAGTGTCACTCAGCTAATAAGTGTCTGAGACTGGATTTGAACTCAGGGCTTTCTGACTCCAGGCCTAGTGCTCTGTGCCCTGTAGCACCTCCAGGTGCCTATAGGAGGCCTCCAGCCTCGTCCAAATGTCTGTGCAGAAAGGCTGTGTGTGGAGGGAGACAGTATGAGACCCAGTGAAGGCTAGGCCTCCCTCCTGGCCTCTCTTCCTTATCCCCCTCTCCTGGAAGGTTACACTGGCCTCCTCCCATGCCCTCCCCAGCCTCATCTAAAGAGGAGAGGCACGTATGCCATCCCACTGCTGGGGCCTTTGGAAACACTGCCCCCCTACCTGTAGGTAAGGTTGACCTTCTCCCAGCGCCCACCAGACAGCACAAAGCGTTTTTGCCGGTTCTGGAGGCGCAATCTGTGAGGCAGGTTGGGCACACCGCAGCGGGGGCGGCCCTGAGCTGTGGCCCACCGAGGAGCATCCTGCATGGGAAGGATTGGCTTGGAGGCTGCAGCCTGGGGGCCAGCCTCAAGCCAGGATCCATCCTCCTTGAGTGCTGAGTCCTGCATAGAGAGCAGAGGAGCCTCAGAACCCTCCTCCTCCCAGGTGAGTGCCCCTTGCCCTCCCAGCTGCCCTGGGCTGGATCTCAATCCCAGCTCTCACTCCAGCAAAATCACCCCTTCCTCACTCACCAGCTCTCTGAATCCCTCTCATAATCTGTTCAACCCAATAAACCTTAATCACTCCCTGCTGTGGGCAGGGCTCAGCACCCAGCCACAGAGATGCAAGTTAGCCAGGACCTGCCCTTGAGGAGCTTCCATTCCACCAGAGGTCAGGACTGGGTCGCCCTCCCACAGACTAGATATGGCTGCCTCATAATTAAAAGGCTATCAGTATTTTGAGAGATTGGCTGGTTAACTGTTCTCCCGGAGATCCTCCTGCCTGTCAGAGGGAAAGAAAGACTGAGCAAGTAATAGAGAGAAAGAGGAGGCAGGTAAATTTCCTGAGAGCTCATCTTGTGAGCAGATTCTAAGAGAATCCTTGAATCTTCCCAAGAAGGTTGATAGATAGAACTGTATTACACAAGGCAAAGGGAAGCAGCTCAGGGTTGGGTTCAGGACCTTGCTCACAGCTGAAACATTGTAAACCATCATGTACAGCTGTCTTTGACTACTTGCTACAATGTTAGTAAATTGTAGCATCAGTAACTTTGACTGTTAATTTAAGCCTGGGAAAGGAGATAGACATAGAGAGTAAGTAATTGCATTCTTTAAGGGAAAGAAGTTTCTCCAGTTTTGAAAATAAATAATCTTTAATAAACTGGGGGTGGGGGCTCAGAGCTAATTGTTTAATGAGAAGATGTTTTGGTAACCAATAAGAACACACCTGCGGGTTACCTTGGGACTCAAGGTGATAGGAGTGGATGTAGTTTGCTCTAAAGCCCTGCCACGCAGAAGTGAGGACACAAGAGCAGACAAATAGTGAGAGCTCTTCCCAAAAGAAATGGACTGCCTTCCCTAAGTGGTGGGCTCCTCTCACTGAAGCTGGGTAGCCACGTGTCCTCAAAGTTGTTGAGGGGATCCGTGTGAAGGGAAGAGTTGGGACAGATGCTTTCGAGGTCCCTATCGATTCTGAGGATCAGAAATTCTATGTGTAAATTTGTATGCCCTAAGAAAACACCATAATTGGGATGGGGAAATCCTGAAAGACTTCTTGGAGGAGGCTCCAAGGACCATGGACCCAAACACAAATAAATAGGTTAGGAGGGTGGAGATGGGTAGAGGCATTCTAGGTGAAGGCCAACCTGTGGTGGCTGGAGAGTAGGGAGTAGAAATGGGGATGCTATGGCCAGAAGGAAGGAGAACCCTGTATCTATTATATCCCTTTGTCAAAGTGAAAGCACCACATAACCACCAATGGAAGCTACTGGAGTCACTCACCAGTGCTTTCTTTATTGCTATGGCTGGAGGGCACCCCAGGAGTACTCAAGTACAACTCTCTTTTTATAGGAGGGGAAACTGAGTCCCAGAGGGAGATGGGATCTGCCTAGAGCCACACAGTGGTGAAGCTGGGTCCTCTGCCCTAGGGTCTGCCTGCCTGCCCAGCCAGAAGTCACCCCCAAGCCCTGGCCCTCACTTTCCATTGCCCAACTACACCACTCAGGCTACCATCACACTACTGCAGAAGCCCCTCAGGGGCTTCCAGCCTGGGCTGCCAAACCAGCATCTGCTGGCCAGCTGCCCATCTACCTGGAGGCCCCTTTATACCCTACACTGAGTGACAGGGGAGCTGAATGTTAGATGGCCACGTGAACACAGAACAGGATACAATCCTCCTCCAGCCCTGGCCCATGGCATGGTCTCCCCTGGCTTGGGGTTTCCTGCTGTAGCTGAGTGGGACCACTCTATGGTTCAGCCTTCCTACCTGAAGAGAGGAGACCAGGTCCCTTGGTCAGACAGGCAGCTTGGCTGTGATGGGGGAGCATACCCAGGCAGGAGCCAGGATGCTCACAGAACACATTCCTTCTCCTTTGAAGATCTCAGTTTTCCCTCTGGGAAGCAGAATGGCTTGCCATACCTGGCTTCCCAAATGATTTCTTGGACCTAAGCATGTCTCAGGAATGAGGATACCCCCCCTCCTTGCCCCCACACCTATGCCTGGTAACTCCTGCCCAGCATTCAAAGCCCATCAGGGAGGCCCTGCAAGTAAGTCTACACCAATTGTACAGATGAGGAAACTGAGGCTGTGAGAGCAGACATGACTTACTTCAGGTCATACAGGGAACACATGACAGGGTCAGGATTCAGACCTAGGTCTGTTGGTACCAGATCTAGCCCTGGTAGGAATCCATCCAAGGCAAGCTGGGGTCACCCACAATAGAACAGGCCTGCCCCAAGGGCCTCCTGGGATGACCTCTGGAACCCTACCCCCATCACCTTCCCACTTCTGCCACCCTGGCATGAAGCTGGGCTGGGGCACAGTGCCTCCTGGAGTGCCACCCCCCCCAACTTAGCCAGAGGGTTTCTTGGCTACCTCTTTATAGTGTGTGTCTTTTGGGGGGGGCAGGGGCACGATAGTGAGCTGGCCCTCTCTCCACCTCCCTCATCCTTGGCTGGCCACACCAGACTGAAAGGGGAAGAATAAATATTTTCAGGCCCCTCTCACAGCATGGCAGCCTGGGATAAAGAGACCTGGAGTGAGCCCTGGAAGACCGTCAGACTGAACAGAGGAGCCAATGGTGTTGATGAAATGGAGCCTAGTTCTGGTCCTGACTTGGCCACTACCTTGCTGGGCAACCTGCAGTAGGTGTCCTCCCCTCTCTGGGCCCCACTCCCCATATTTCTAAAATGAAGAGGCTGGATCAGATGACCCATTTCTAAAGTCCTGACTAGCTGGAAATTCTTGGGTCTTCTGCTGTCTAACATCCAGTGACCAAGAAGCCTGGCACAGCTGGCCAGTGGCCCTCTCCCCAGGCTCCTGCAGGGCCCTCCTGCCAGACCCATGCTGAGCCCAAGGGGCCCCTTTTTGTCTCCTTCACTGCAAGCCCCAGCCCTCTGCTCTGCCTCTCTCTCCAAGCCTCTGTGAGGCCCTGAGGATGTCTTGCAGAGGGGGCTGCTGGAGCAGGGCCAGGCCAGCCCCGCCAGTGGACTCAGCTGGGCACCAGGACATGTGGACAGGCTCTCTTCTCTAGGGCCTTCTGTCTCAGGAGTTAGAGCAGAGACACCTGCTATAGGCCCCATGACCCTGGCGGGCTCCTAGCCCAAAGCTCGGCCACAGGCTGCCTCAATCAGCCATTGATGCTGTGGAGGCCCGGGAGGGAGAGGAGGAGGGAGAAGAGGCAGCAGCCCCAGGGCGGGCCTTTGGGGCAGGGTGGTAAAGGTAGCCCCAAGTCTCCCCCTCCCGCTCTTCTCCTTCCTGCTCCCCAAGAGCCTCCAGAAAGGGGGGAGGGGCGCTCAGAGACAAGGGCACCGAGGCAGAGAGGGAGCCGAGAGCAAAGTGAAAGGCTGCGGGAGGGGCAGGACTGAGGAGGGGGAGAGGGAAAAGGAGGAGGGGGAAGGGGAGGAGCAGGGGGCTGGGCTAGACCTAGGCAGGGAGGACACCCACAAGGGCATAGAGCAGTAAGCCGGGGCGCAGCGCCTGGGGGCCCCGGCTGGGGGATCTGGGTGCCCACCCCCAAACTGATGCGCCGCAGGAAGGAACCCTCCCATCTCACCCCTAGCCTCTCTCCCTCCCGGGGACCTGGTGGCACGGCCGAGTGGGGGCTGCGGGGGCGGAATGGGGCCGGCCTGAGACTCACAGGTAGTGGCGGGGGCGGCCGAGCCAGAACTCGGTTCAGAGACGCGAGCAGCAGCAGGAGCAGCAACAGGAGAGCTCCGGGGAGCCGGAGCAGGCGGCGGCTGTGGGCCAGGGCTGGGGCCATCCCGAGGCGGGAGCCAGGGGCCTGCGGGGCGGGCCCAGAGCCGGGGTGACTGCGGCCCTTTATAGGCTCTGCCTGTCCCGCCCCTCCGCCCTCCCCCCCCCCCAGCCCGCCGAGGTCTGGAGGCTCCCCTTCCCCCTCCCTCCCCTCCCTGCTGCTGGGGCCTAGAGGCCCCCCCTCTCCCCTGGCTCTGCCCCCCTCCCCGCCTCCCTGGTCCGGGCCTGGCCCTGCCCCCCTCCACCAGCACCCAGTCCGCCTTTTGTTCGCTCTCCCTCTCTTCCTACCCTACTCTGGGCAAGGAGGGGGAAGCCATCAGGTCGGCCTGCTCTGCCCTCTCCCCCTCCCAACTGGAGGGCACCCTACTGCAGCCCTAATCATTAACAGACATTCCCCTCCCCCCGCCCCCCACTACTGGTGGTGCCCCAGAGGTTGTAGCAGGGGAGGCCGATGGCCCAGAACCCTAGTGGGGAGAGCCAGGCTAGGGGCATAGAGCCGAGGAGGTCAAAGGCAGGGCTGAGGGGGAGAGGACTAGGGGCGCTGGGACCGGGCAATAGGCAGTCAGGGAGCAATGGCTGATCCTTGCCCCCCAGAGAGCTAGGCTGGGGGGTGGGGTCACTTTCTGGATAACCTCCAAACAGGAAACATCGTTGTGGCCACAGAAGGCCCCTTGTCAGAGGATGCTGGGCATTTGTGGCCAGTCCAAAGCAGACCTGACCTGGAGAGACCCAACTCCTGAGGATGCCCCTCACCCTGGACACACACACAGAAGGAGCTGGGCCTGAAACTAGACCAGAGGGAGCCCCCAGTGCATAGTCTTTGGGAAACCCAGTGGGGCTGGCTGAGATCCCAAGCTGCCCCCAATGGGCCTGCCTCCCTCTGAGTCACAGCTCCCAGGCTCTCCTGGTCTGTTCTGGCCTCTGAGCTCTGTTCTTTGGAGTCTGGCCACCTTGTCCAGTCTCCTCAAGCCTCAGCCCCTTCCTGCTGCTTCTACTCTTCAGCTCTGACTCCACTGGCCTCTTCTCTCCTCCACGGGTTTCAGTTCTACTCACCACCCTTTTCTGGCCTGTTTCCCAGGGTCCTCTCTGGCTTCTGGTCTTTTCTGATGCCCTCTGCCTCTGACCTCTGATTGCCCCCTCTCCCCTTTGGTCTCCTCTTCCAGCCTCTAGCCTCTTCCTCTCATCTCCCTTTCTCACCTTTGGCCTCCTTCTGTGGTCTCCTCTTTCTATCTCTGGCCTTCTCTTCCCACCTCTGGCCTCCTCTTCTCACCTCTGGCCTTCTCTGTTCACCTCTCATCTCTAGCCTCCTCCTCTGGCTACTGTGTGGCAGACTTCCAGAGATCTCCACAACATAACTGAGTGATCTCACATGGCTGACTAAGGTCAGAAGAGGCATCTTACTCTAGTTTCTATAGCTCTCAAAGGTGTACCCATTGTCTCTTCCATGTGGGTGCAGACTCTCCCCTGCTGCAGTTGGTGACCCATCCTCCTCTCTAGGATTCCAGGTCAAGTTCTCCTCCAGAGCCTCTGGACTCTCCCCTGGGTTCTGGGTCCTCCCTCTGGGGCCAGTTCCATTCCGTAGGGACTGGTGGACAGACTGGTTGTCTGCACTCATCTTGCCACCCACCAGCCTGTCTCCCTGGGAGGTACCGAGGTCCAGGCAAAGCATGCTGGCTCTGCCAGCAGAATGTGTGACTTTGGGCCGAGTTCTTCGCCCACCAAAGGAGAGTGGTCACCCTTGTGACCTCATTGCCAGGCCCTTCCAGCCCTGAGCCGTCTGCTCCTCAGTGACGTCCCTTCCAGGTGGCAGACTGCTCTCGCCAGCTTTCCTGAGTCCACAATGTCTCTGTTGTCCTATGGGTCACCTGCATCCTGGACTTCTCAGAGACTGTGGCACTCAAAAAGTCCCAGCTGCACGGCTGCAGGAGCCATTTCCAGCAGAGGATGTGCCAAATGAGATGAATGGTTTTCAACAAAAGGATTCCAAAAGATGCACTCTCCGAAAGGCCGGTATGTGGAGAAATGCATAAGCAAGGCTGAGGCTTCACCTCCTGCTCTGCAGACTGGCAAAGATGATGGATGGAGGTCTAACATGGCCCAGAAGGCCGGGCCATGGCCCCCACTCCCCTTCTGCTCTGGGCCTATGCGGGTGGCTCAGTCTCCAGTGCATTAACCCACCCCATCCTCTGGGGACAAGTTATTTGAAGCTTAGATTATGACTCATGTCATAATTTCCAAAGAGGAAATGACAGGGTCCTTAATAATAATAGCATGCATTTATAAAGCATTTTAAGGTTTGCAAAGCGATTTACAAAGATGATTTCATTTGATCCCCACAACAGCCCTGGGAGGTAGGTACTATTACTACCATCACCTTATAGATGAGGAAACTGAGGTAAACAAGGTCAAATGACTTGCTTAGGGTCCCAAAGCTAGTAAGTGTCTGAGGTCAAATTTGAACTCAGATCTTCCTGTCTCCAGGCTCCAAGTTCTGTGTCCTATGGTACCACCTGGCTGCCTTGTATGATGTGAATATGAATGGGACAGGTATTTATTTCCTATACAGAAGAGAAATGTTAAAGAATAGGGCACTCCCAGAATACACTGGGGCTAGGTGGCACAGTGGATAGAGCACTGGGCCTGGGGTCAGGAAGACTTGAGTTCAGATCTGGCCTCAGACACTTGCCAGCTGTGTGACCCTGGGCAAGTCACTTAACCCTGTTTGCCTCAGTTTCCTCACCTATAAAATGAGCTGGCGAAGGAAATGGCAAACCACTCCAGTATCTTTGCCAAGAAAACCCCAAAAGGGGTCTCAAAGAGTCAGACGTGACTGAAAATGACTAAACAAAAAAAGAATACATTGATGGAAATGCTTGAAAACAGGATTCTGTAGCTTAACTTACTCCTCCAGTCTGCTAGGAGGCTGGTATAAAAGCCAGGCAGAACATGAAGCAGTATGCTGCCATGACACTTGGCTTGGCTTGACTCTGCACTGTCCCCTCAAAGTCCATGTCTTTTGGCAAACCAGGCCAGGAGCTCGAGCTGTCCCTCTGCAGGTGGTCAGCTTCTCTGATGCAGAACCTTCCCTTCCTGCCAGGCAGCTCCATTCATTGACCCAACAATCTCTGGACCTGTCAAGAATAGGCTGGCTGTGGTTTCTTCTTTTTAAATGGTGCAACTCCTTTCCCCACTATTGTCCTCATGGGGTGGGGGAGGACAGAAGGACCCTCCTCCCAAGATTTTCCATGCCATACAAATACCAAGTCCACTCAATGCTGGGCTTAAAGTAGCCTGGGAGTCTGTTAATTCTAACATGTCCAAGAGACAAGCTGAGTCACATGTGGGCTTGGCAGGAAGCAGGCAGGGAATGTCTGCACATGCTCAGTATGCCCCATGTTTCAGTGATAATTGCCAGTGTTGGAAGGGCTGTGAGCCTACAGGCATGATGGTCCACTGTGTGCAGAGCTGGATCCAGACCTTAGGGTCCCAACTGGAAACTGTGGCAGAAATGTTCCTAACTCTAACTCACAGTTTTGTCCTGCGAGCTCCCTCAGGGCACTCTTTCTCAGCATGTATTCCAAGGGAGGGAAAGCCTGAAAGAAAGGCCCAATGTACAGTAGCTATTCTGAGAGGGTGACCTATGTAAAGTGCTCTCTACATGTTATAGAAGCTACCAACACCACCAAGCTGGGTCCGCAGAATGCTCATCAACTGGGGGAAAGGCTGTCATGGAGGAATGTAAGAGAATAACATTGTGATATAGCAGGAACTTAGACATATGAGGAATTCTGAGAAATCAGGGACAACTTGGGTAAACTGAGGCAGGGAGAAAGCCCAAGCAGTCCACATCCTCCACGGCCTACTGTGCCTGTCCCTTGGGAGAAGAGGAAGAGGAAATTTGGTGGAGGCTGACACTTCTTTCTCTTTCTGGGCAGGTTTGACTGCCATCCGCTGCTGTGCCTTTTTCTGCCTAATTTGCAGCCTTTGGAGGGAAGAGGTGCCGTGAATTGAGACCTCTGTCTGATCATCTGCCCATGGGCCTCCCATCTTGTACCACACTTGCCTCCAGCCTCCTTTGGGAAGAGGAGTGGTGTCCTCCACTAAATGATGAACATTCTGCCATCTCATATACCCTTCACATCCCAGTGACTCTGAACTCTGGACCATTTTTCAAACCTCACTCAATACCCACCTCCTGATTCTTCATTCCCGTTGTCCTTGAAGCTTGAACTGAATAACTTCCCAGCCCTTCCACTGTGCCCTCTGGAATGCCTGTTCTGTAGGCAACAAACTTCCTTTCATTTTCAATCTTTCTCTCTTCCCTTCCATCTACTAGCTCCTACTGAAACCTGAATATACTCAATGACACAGCCTCCCTAGCCTCCCTTTCCAGTACTGGCTGAACCTTCACTAATTCTTCTCAGCTCACTGGTTAAGGAAGGGGAATTGGAATACTCCTTGCTCCCTATGGCCACTTCCAGGGTTCTCCCCATTCCTCTTTCACTCAGAAATGTCTCTTCCTTTGAGATTCATGCTATTCATATCTGCCACTCAATTAGATCCTGGTAGCTGGGCCCTCACTTATCAACTTACCCTGCCACTCTCCCTAGTGGCTCTGCCCAAACCTCATCCCTCATCAAACCTCCTATGGCTCTCCCTCCCCCCATTCTCTCAGCTGAGAAATTTGTCACCTATTTGACAGAAAAAATGAAGGCCATTAGCTTTGAGCTCTCTTCCTTCCCTCTTCCTCATCTTCTATCACTCCAGTGCCTTCAGCCACTCTCTCTTCCTTCATCCCTGTCCCCTATGATAAAGTGGCCTGACTCCTGACCAAGGCTCACCCTGCTACTTGTTCAAGTGATCCCATTCCATCCCATGTCTTCCAACAGGTTTCCCCCCTTCTCTGTCATCCTTCCTCTCCCCCCTTACTTATCTTCAATCTCTCCCTCTCTACTGGCTCCTTCGCTACTGCCTAAACATGTCTCCCCCATTGTCAGAACCCTTCCATCCCTGCTAACTGTTCTCCCATGTCTCACGTGTCCTATGTTACCAAATCCCAAGAGGCGACTCCACTTTCTCT